CTTTCTGAATAATATCACAGCATAAAGTAGCCATTGAAGAATCCAAATTATTGTGTTTTAAAGCAGAATTAATCACCTTCAATCGAGGCGAGTCTTGTAAAACCCCTCTTGGATCTTGTAATATCCGTAGAAACGGTTCATTAATAGTTTCTTCTTCTTTCCAAAATATTTTGTTTATTATCGACCCCATAAGTGGAAAAGGATCCTTTTGTGAAAAAATGTTATTATAAAGATGTTGTCTAACTACCGAATCCAATGGGATGGTGTCAAGACATCTCATTATAAACGATCTTTGCAGAGATAAGTTTTGTTCAGTTTTTTCAAGCTTGGATAAGATGCCTAATACGTGATCGACAAATTTTTTAGACAAAACATTTTGTTCATCAGAGACTAGTCCCAATTTTATAATTTCCTTAAGACTCGATAGTTGTATTAATTTAGATGACACAATATCGTTGCAAATTCGTAATAATTGATATGATCTTAATTTATTTGGTTTCAAAATCTTTGCACTAAATGATAAAATCTTGACAACTTCGTGTTGCCATTGATCCAATTGAGGTTCGCCGCCTTTTTTTACAATTTTATCTAGCATTGTTTTTATAACTTTATCGACAAGAAATTCCTCAAATGAAATATCTGGCATTTCCTGCGTAAATTCATTTATAGCTGATGGACACATTTGTGCTAATTGTAAATCTGCCGATATAATATTAGAACTTTTCCACCAATAGATATGAAGAAGAACTGGATCGAGTACTTTATCTTTTCCGATATGTTGCCGTAATAATCTAGCAAGTAACTCAGAATCTTTCTTATCGGCATCATTTGCAACTATAAATGTTATAAAATCTTCAAAAAACCATTCAGAAAAGTCTTTAAAAACTTGATCATTGAGAGCCGTAAGTGATGCTATAACATTCTCACTAAATCCTCTAACGGCAGTTTCATAAACGTCATGTGAAAGTCCTTGATCATCATCACAGTTTTCTGGATTCTCTCTAAATTTTGTAAGTTCATCTTCCCATGTGGTCCTGAATTCATTAATTTTTTTCATAAAATAATATGAAAATGGGAATTTTAAATCATAAAAGAGTTCTGGCATCACATATTGATCAGGTCTTGGTTCAAGCAAGTCATTGGTATTCAGGACTTTTGGATCCATGAACATTGTTTGTAAAAACGTAATTAAAGTCTCGTTTCTTTTCTTTTGACTTATTGATATGAATGTTTTAGTAACTGACAATTTTTCAAGAGCAAATAACATTTTAGCGATTGGACGTCTAACAAATGATCGAAGATAAGCCAACAATGCGGCGGAAAAGGATGGGTACGGATATAAT